TTATGTCTAATCAGATGGCTTAACTGAAAAGAAAAAAGTTTCAATAAACTTCTTCTGTATTCACTCTACTCAGTCTTTTTCAGTGTTATTAAGTATATTACATATTATTGTATTTTATTTGTCTTTTATGTATCCTTTTTGCTTTATTCTTTTAACTAAAAACAGAAATAAAAAATAAAATGAAATAAATTTTTTGTTTTTATATTTTTTGATTAAGTGCAAACTTCACAAAAAAAAATCAGTTACAAATTTAAAATACAAAAATGTGTTTTAAATCATATTGAACCATTTGCTGGCAGCTTTAAAAAAAAAGAACCTTTTAGCAGATAGGAGGAAAATGATAATGTTACATCATATCTTTTGCAAACTTGACAAAAATACCGGGTTTCTTATTCAAAGCATTTGCACTTAACCACAGCAATAGTTTCAAAAGATTTTTGAGGTTAAATTGGAAGAACTTTATTTGCTGCTTAACTAATATAACATTATAATTTTTAGTATTGTAGTTTATTTTACTACAACTGCTATTGATAATATTACTGTTCATCTTCTTAACATTTCCATTATCTGTTATTTAAATCATTAGAGAGTAAGTTAGTTGGGTTAACAGCTTTTAAGATTTTGTGTAGTTAATTAACAAAAGTAAAGACAGCAGCAGCATTAATCGAGGTGATTCTAACCAGTTTAATTATTAGTTCTAACAAGAACCTTAAAGAACCTTGAATCCGATTAGCTGGAAGCTGTCATACTTATAGATGTCGTTGCTTTTTAAACAAGACTGACTTCTTTTAGAGGAAGTAATTGCACCACTATGAAGTGCAAGTAAAAATAATTTTAACAAAGACTATAATAAAGTTAAGATTTAAATAAATCTACAAAGCATTTTTTACCTTTGATATGCAAAACTAAACTTGGATTTTGCAATTCTGTTGACGAAATAAATTGATCAGCAACTTTCAATGTTCTGAAAAGCAACAGACCATTGATTATTTGTGGTTTTTAGTCATCTAACCAAAATGTCACGTAGGATTTATCAATAGAAAAAGCTGCATATTTTCTTCCAGAAAAAAGCAAGGTTTCAGCGAAAAGGAAACAACAAAAACAAATTTCATTTTAGCGTGAAAAAAAAATTACTTCACTTAAATAAATTCAAATGAAGACAATTTCTATGGACTGTTTTTAAAGATAAATTTTTGTTTACGCTTTCTTCTTGGTTTTTGTAATTCCAAATTATTATAGCAGATGTTATCCAAAGCAAAATAATTAATTCTGAACGAAAAGCCAAAACTGATGGCTCACCGTCAAAGTGGCATCTTTTAATTAAGAGGGCACAAAAGTCAGATGGCTGGCTAGATGCTCCTGCAACATTAAACATTGTCCCAAAACTAGCAGAAAAAATAGATGAGAAGAAAAGGACAATTGTTTTCTTCAATTTTCTTCTGAACTCTAAAAGACATTCTCAAAATGTCCTTATTTTTTTTTTTTTTCTTTTTTTAGTTCTAAATGCACGAAAAAAATAAAGAAATAAATAAGTGAAAAGAAGAAATTTCTTTATTCATTTGCAAGTTTGATTCATTTGGATTTATTTTTTCTCTGCTTATTCTTTTTTGTTTTTATTTGATTAATTCTTATTGATTTTCAAGACTTCAAAGAAGACAATGCATTGAAAAATTCTTAATTTGTTTTCAATGTTGGCAAAAAAAAAAAAAAAAAAAAAGTAACCAAAAAACAAATCAATGGAGGGCAAACAAAATTCACAACGGTGTTGTATTTATAATTTTGCTCAAATATTGAAAATAGCGGAACCACTTAATGCCTTTTTTTTTTTTAAAGCTTTTCTGTTTTCAAAAGTTTTGTAGAGTAGTTTTAAGGAAGCAAAATATTCATATAGCATAGTCATTATCTGATGACTTATCTTATGGCACTTCCAAAGGATCAATCAGATGATTTTTTGGCATCAAAATATAGCGGTGGTTGTTCGTAACTGCTGTTCAGTTTATTGGCATTTATAACGCATGTCAAATTTAAATGATCACTGTCTCAAATTTGTATGTTTTGGAAGTATATCAAATCAGTTTAGCTTGCAAAAGATGGCAAAAAACTGAGGGACAAAACGATTAGATGAATGATTGGATGTCTTAGCAAAAGAGAGGTTAGTTAAAAGAGGATGAAGTGAGATAGAAGAATTTTTTTTTGAATTAGTAGTAACAGTGATAATTACAATAAAAATGATAATACTAATGATACTAATATTAATAATAATAGCAATAATGTTAGTAGTAACAGCAATAATACTAATAATAATAGCAATAATAATATTGTTAATAATGACCAAATCTTTTGCCTCACAATTGCTAATGAAGATAAGCAGTTAAAAAGTAAAACTGTTTTTCTTTCCACTTAATTAATCCAATACTTTCTTTTTTTTACATTAGTTATTCCTTCTCCAGCAAGAAAACTGAAGTTAGAAAAAGGTTGTTTATTGTTGAATAGTATTTTTTGTTTTAAATTTTCCCACTTTTAAATAAAAGAAAAAAAGAAATGAATGAAGAAAAAACTGTTCGCTTCAGCTTTTTTTTTTTTT